GATAGATTAAAAGTTGCCACTTTTCATTTTTTCTGGTCATTCTTTTTACAGATTTAATAACAATTTTAAGATAACATACATATTGAAAGACATTTCATAGAAATCCTTGTAACATGCCAAATGCAATTATTTATTGTGCAATCTAAGGACAAAATGAATCATTAATTATTTGGATTATTAATTTTATCAGTAACTATTGGTTGAGTTCTGGACTCAGGAAAAACAAGAATGAACAAGACAGAAGTCCTCAACAAGCTAGCACCATAGTGAGATAGTTGGTACATCAACCAATCACTGCAAAATAAGTGAGCATGATTTATAATAGAGGGATGCATATGGTACAAAGGAGAAGAAAAAGGAACAGTGAATTTTACGGGGAAGATTAAGGAAGTTTCACAGATGACGGTGCCTGTAAACTGAGTTTGGAAGGAAGAACATGTGTTTGATTAATGGACAGTACATGTAAGCACAGGGAGGCCCGTGGGATTATGGCTTGCAGGTAAGGCTTGGTGCTTCTAGAAGGGGCTTGGTCAGCAAGGAGGCGGCGGAGGCTGTCAGCAGACACGCGACAGAGGGTCACATACACCTCTCCAGGAAATTCACAGCTCGCTGATTTCACTTCCAGTCACCATTCAGCAGGCTCTCTTCTTAAAGGACTCACTCTCTGCTTGGCCCACAATACAGCCTGCTCATTCACAACTCTGTTCCTAGACTTATACTCTTCCCTTTACTCTGATTATGTTATGTGTAAAGTTAGGGCCTAACTATTTTCGGAATTCCATTGTAATAAAGATTTAATCTATTTCATGTCTCCAAATTACATCAGATAGACTTCGGGTCTGAACAATCTCATGTCTGCTCCATAGTCTAGCCCTGTGGTATTGAATGAAATGAGTCAGCCTGCTTTAGTTTTTAGAGATTCTCATTTAAGTAGTATCAGATAGACATTGGACTTAATCAGTCTCCTTTAGGAGGAGACTTTTTTTTTTTTTTTTTTTTTTTGAGATGGAGTCTCTCTCTGTCACCTAGGCTGGAGTGCGGTGGCATAATCTTGGCTCACTGCAACCTCTGCCTCCCAGGTTCAAGTGATTCTCCTGCCTAAGCCTCCTGAGTAGCTGGGACTACAGGCTCATGCCACCACGCCTGGCTAGTTCTTTCATTTTTTGTAGAGACAGGGTTTTACCATACTGACCAGGTGGGTCTTGAACTCCTGACCTTGTGTGCTGGATTACAAGCGTGAACCACTATACCCAGCCTATTATTTTGTATTTTTAGTAGAGACGGGGTTTCACCATGTTGGCCAGGCTGGTATCAAACTTCTGACCTCAAGTAATCTGCCTACCTCAGCCTCCCAAAGTGCTGGGATTACAGGCCACAGCACCACGCCAGAAGGAGACTTCTAAAGACACATACAACTTAATTTGTGATGTTCAGGTAAACATCACAAATATATGTAATGACCATAAAACCACAAAGATAAGTAGAAATCCACAAGAATCTGTCTGGTTAGTAGATATGGTTTGGCTGTGTCCCCACCCAAATCTCATCTTGAATTCCCACATGTTGTGAGACGAACCTGGTGGGAGGTAACTGAATCATGGGGCAGGTCTTTCCTGTGCTGTTCTCATGATAGTGAATAAGACTCATGATATCTGATGGATCTATAAGGGGGAGCTCCCCTCCACAAGCTCTCTCTGTACCTGCTGGCCTCCATGTAAGAAGTGACTTGCTCCTCCTTGCTTTCCACCATGATTGTGAGGCCTCCCCAGCTTCATGGAACTGTAGGTTCATTAAATCTCTTTATTTTGTAAATTGCCCAGTCTCAGGTATGTCTTTATCAGCAGTGTGAAAGCAGACTAACAATACATTGGAGCTGGCTTTCCAACCCCATAACCTTGCTTTTGTCCTTTTATTACATTCTAAATCCTAATATGAGACTTCATGATATGCATGTTGGCCACATTGAAGGGTGGAAGTATGGAACGATGCAGGCCCTAGGATAGCAGAACAGCATAACATCAGATCCATGGGCATCTCTCACACAGGCCTCCATGGAGGGACAGCAAAGCAGCAACCGGGACTGCACCCATGTCCATGGTATATAGGTTCTTACCAAGAAATGCACCCCCAAAAACCTTTATGCCCAAAAGCTTCCTCCATAGCCACTAATAACCTAATTAGGGGAAAACACTATAAAGGCTGAAGCTACTGCAAAAGTAAAGTAGGAGAATAGATGGGTGTGTGCAAAGCAGTCATAGGTAACATTTCAATTCAAAATATAAGCATGTCAGGTAAGTCAGATTAAATTTACACGTGAAAGAGTTTCTGACTGCCGATATGGATGGATGCAGAGATGGACAAACCAAGTGCTGTCTTTGTTTTGATGGTTTATAAGGAACAAGTGAGGACCAGGTCTTGGCTTTCGGGTCTGAGTGACACGTGTCAGCCCAGCAACTGGCTCAGCTAGCGAGACGGACGCAAAACATGGGCTCATGCTCCTGACTCTAAATATTGTCCCGAGTTATCAGTACTTTCCACCTTGGGAACAAATTGTGACTCATTTGGAAAATGTCACCCATTAAAACCACTGAATTTTGTCCAATGTAAGCCCAAAGGACAATGTCTTAGGTTGATTCATAATAAAAACAAGTATATCTCTGATGTAGAACTCATGATTATGAAAGTTCAAGCTCTTACTCCCATCATTTTGTGAAACATTTTCTACATTTATACTTCCTTTATTTTTGCTCTCTCTCCTGTAAAAAAAAAAAGTCATTTTAAACATGGTGACAGCCCAAAATTAAAAAAAAAAATTAAACATTCACCTAGTATTCCTTGACTGGCCTAATAAAGCCAATTTCTGTTTGTTTGTTTGTTTAGAAAAAAATAGTATTCCATATTCAAGCTATATTTACATTTTGTTGTTTTATTTAAATATTTGTTCATCTTTTTTGAAATTCTGAATCTGACAAGAGAAATCTTATAATTGTGAACATTTATAAAAGTCCTTTAAATATAACACATGGCAAGGATATTTTCAAATCCAGAAGTTCTATGATTTACATTATTTTAAAACCATATTATGTAATAATTTGTAATTACATCTTTACAATGCCTGACGAAGGTGATAGCCACCATTCCTTGTTTGCATCCTGTGTTAAGTCATCTGAACAAAGGTAGTATGGAGTATATTATAATTATTTCCATTTTATTTATCAGAAACTGAAGTTTATGAAAAATTCACAATTAATAAATGACTTTGGACCCGGGGCTTTCTGATTCTAAAATCTGTGCTCATCACAATAATGCCACACTTCCCAGGGAACGGACTGATAACTTAGTATCACACTGCTCCTAAACACTTGCCCATATTAACTCATGTAATCCATACAACAAGCCTATGCAATAAGATAGATCTCTTTTTATTAGTCTCATTTTACAAATACACAAACTAAAGAGAAAGGTTAAATGACTTCTCCAACTTTGCAAAGCTACAAAATGGTGGAACTGGCTTGCAACCTCAGGCACTCTGACTATAGATCCTGCATACTTCAGCACTGTGCTACAATATTAGCCAGTGAATATGTCACCTATTATTAAGATTTTTATTTCATTTATTTGCAAACATTTTATTCATGTAACAGACCACTGCCCTTCTAGTGAAAATCATATCTATTTTCTGGAATTAGAATTTGCAAACCAGTTTCATTGCATAAGCCTGGTTATATAACTTGTTTAAATTTAGTGGAAAAGTCTTTCTCAATATTACTGAATATATTTGTTAAGATTACATTTTCAGTTGTTCATTTTAAACAGGCTAGCTGTATTCTGTTAGCTAAAAGAGAATGGTCACAGAAGATGTGAAAAAGAGTTCAGTTAACAAAGGTATTAAATACTGTATTTAAATAATATTTACTATCTCACCAAATTCCTACATTGTTTCCTTAGTATCCTGAAACTATAAGTAAGCACAAGAAATATCTAACATATCTTTGCCTTCATGTGTAAAACCTAGTAGAAAAAATCTAATAAGAGTAAACATGCTGGAGAGAAGCAGCAGCAGAAATGCCTTATGGTTGCTGGGTATTGGTGTGTGCATGGGTGTGTAAGAAACATGTGTGTCCTCGTGTATCATTTAAACGTGATTTTCTCAAAGGTACAAAATTATTTTGGGTCATAAATTAATTATGATTTTATAATTTATCTCTTAGGTAACTGACATACAAAATAGAAGACTGCATTAATCAATTTGAAGAGACAATTATGGTCACAACTTTTTCCAGCTCCCTACTTGTGACATCAGATGACCACAGATAACACCATTTATTTTTACAGAGTTTGAGAGTTAGCTAATAATTTCACGTCCATTATCTCTTTTGACCTTGAATGGAATCTTATAAATTAGGTAAAGCAGAAACAATTTCTTTCATTTTTCAAATGAAGAAACTGAGGCCTAGAGATTAGGGGATAGTCTGAGGATAAATGCTGGAGCTGAAATAAAATTAACATCTTCTGACTGCATTTAATTCCCTTTCCATAACACCGTAAATACCATACACGAACTGTTAATATGATGTACCCGTAAGTGGAAGCACATCAAATATGCTACATGATAAAATTAAACTGTTTCAAAGTATAAACTAGGTAAAAGTTTTAAGCTTACATTGGCACCGGATCTATATGATATTAACCAGAAGACATCAAAACTGTACAGTGACATTTTTTAATTCAGTTAAAAAAGAGAGAAGATTCTATACTTCTAAATTCTACCTATATAGGTACACATAATTGCCATACTTATATGCTTATACCTAATAGATACAGCTTAGTATGCACCTTCATTTTACAATTGGTTGATACATAAATAGACTAATCTAGCCATATATCATACCAGCAACACAAATACATGTGTTTTCCACATTTTTCATTATAAAAGTAAGTAGTCTGTTGAAAATCTCAACATATAACCATGTAAATAATATTAAGCAAAAAATACCTACTAGTGAGGAGACTTGGTGTTGTACATCATGATGGGGATGGATACGGTTCATTAAATCCACAGTCCACTGGGTGACTCATAACCAAAATATGTGCCATTACTGTTCATACCTAAACAGACACCAAAAGATGACAAAATTGGTCAATAAGGGTGATCTCTTGTGATTTGCATAAGATTATCTTTCTAATCTGTAGCATAATAATAAAAAGATTTTTGACAAGCAACCCAACAGAAAGACCTTAACCTATGTATCTCTGTTGTTGTTGCTGTTGTATTTATTTCATTAGCTTTAAGAATACAAATGGTTTTGGTTACATGGATGAACTGTACAGTGGTGAAGTCTAGGATTTCAGTGCACCCATCACCTGAGTAGTGTACATTGTACCCAATAGGTAGTGTTTATTCCTCACCCTCCTCAGACCCTCTGAATCTCCAATGTATGTCCATTAGGATCATTCAGATGCCTTTGCATCCCCATAGCCTAGCTTCTACTCATAAGTGAGAACATGCAACACCTCCGTTTTGCAAACAATGTGAAGTACAGCCATGGGAACACATTACGTAGCTAATAAATATGTCTGATTCAGAAGTAAATGTACTAGTAAATCAATGTAACATTTCTAGAAAGCCATATGCTTATCAACAAGAAAACCAAACTTACCCTGTGATGTGAATGTTTTATGGCCTATGTGTTGAGCATTACACTATGTATGCATATAACTTTCATTCAGTCTTCACAATAAATCTGCAATGTAGTAGTCTCCATTACAGATTTAAAGACTCAGAGGAGTAAGGCAATTGGCCCAGGAGTCTGCCCTCTATAGAACATGCTACTTTACCATATCATGTGGACCATGCAGAGCACACCCTTCTTCCAATGATTAGCTGTGCTTCATGTTCTACAATGTGACCAACAGATACTGAGTGTTATATAAAGATGTATCTCATTGGTTCTCAGTCTTCCATGTACTTCTCTAAAATACAAGCATGGTATTCTACTCATCTTTGTATGTCAAGATAGATATAAAGTGAGATCTCACTTTGAAATATAGTGCCTGGCACATACAAATATGTGCTGAGTAAATGAATGAATGAACAGCAACAACAAAAGTAGGCATTGGCATCTATTTCTTGCCTTAACTCACACTTTTGTTTTGTCAATCCTTTAATTTACTTGCCAAAGTTATCTTTCTGTTTGCAATACAATCTCAGGAGAAGAAAAAGAATAATCTGAAATATCATTTGAATGAAGTTCAAATATATTCATTCCAAAAATTACACACTAGTTAGCAGTCAGTTTAATTTAATTCACTTAGAGATCGAATTCTATTTCTCAAAAATAGAAAAAGGTTAAATAATAAAGACATTTTTCAGAGAGAAAAAAAATCCACCTTTTACCTGTAGATTAGATAACGGCTTCCTAACAGGACTTACACCTACATACCTTCCTAGATCACAGGGGGAAGGACAGTATGAACACGGGAGAAAACTGAAGTCAAAGTCAACAGGCAGAAGCTGCATGATCACTAGGAGCTAGGAAAAGCTGCTCTGGAATGGAGATGCTACAGAAAGAAAGCCAGCTTGGAGACTCTAATAGTCAGATCCAAATTTACTCTGCAGAAAAAGCAGCACCACAGTGAACTCCCCAGAGCAGGAGTGGGCAAACTCCAGCCCTGCTGCCAGTTTTTGTGTAGCCTGTGAGCTAAGAATGGTTTTTACATTTTTAAATGTTTGGAACAAACTAAAAGAATTGTGCGAATTATTTGAAATTCAAATATCAGAGGCTATAAATAAAGTTTTATTGGAACACAGCCACAGCCATTCATTTACATATTGTCTCTGGCTGCTTTCATGTTACCATGGCAGAGTTGAGTCGTTGTAACAGACACAGTATGACCAACAAAGCCTAAAATATATCCTATCTGACCCCTCATAAAAATTGGTTGCTGATTTCTGGTCTAGAGAATTGTTCGTGCCTGATTTGGAGGAGACTGTATGACAGGAAGAGGGGTGCTTTAGGGCAGATTGGAAGCAGAGGTTGGGAACCCCTGGCCCTACTGAAGGTCATGAGCCTCAAGGACAATGCCATAACCGCCTTGAGTGTGGCAGGGCATTTCCTTTGGGGACAGCAGGATTTTCCCTGGAGGAGGCACCAGAAATGAAGTCAGAGTCAGCCACACTTCGTGTCAGGCACACAGGCTGAGGCAATGAGGATGGGTGGAGAAAGCTGGCCACCAGGACAGTGTCATTCTGCAACTTGCCAGGATGCCATTCTCTTCAAGGAAGTCTCCAGGGCTCTGACTCCCTCCCTTCAGAATGACAGATAACCGAGACAACCAGTCCCCTTGCTGAAGGCCTGAGAAAGGCGATGATAACAGCAAACAGAAGGACTCTAAGAAAAAGATCCTCTATCTGCCCCCATTTCAGGGCAAAGAGTGGACCACAGCAAAGATGCATGAATGGGTAAAAATGAAAAACAAAAGAAAGCATGAAGTTCATAGAGAAGAATCTTCTACTTCTATGGAGAGGTGGCATTTACTTTTGAAAAACACCAAAGGAAGTTAAAATACATTTTGTAGAACATCTGTTTCTGAGACAACAGAGAACAGAATCCCAAAGATTTATCTTCAAGCAGAGAAGTTAATTAAGCCCCAATAAATGAGAAGATCCCTAAGTGGTTTCCCATTTAATTGCATCTTAGAGGTGAAGAGAAGGTGGGTTTTGAACGGGAAAACTTGGCTCTAAGCACCAATTCTGATATATGCTCACGACATGACCTTGGACAAATGGCCTCATATTCAACAGCCTCACTTGTGTCACCTCTAAAACTGGGTTTGTCTGAGCGTTCTTAGACAAAATATGCACAAAATATCTAGAATACTGCCTGTCGCATGGGAGGTACGCAATATTTACTAACTGCCCAGCTTGATCTCTCTCCCTCCTCTTCTAGTACTGATATTCTACCACATTTATTACAACTATAGAAAATAGTTGCCAGACATTCAGTTCTCTCCTATGCTCCATACTTGACTTTGCTCCTTCTGTTTTCTCTGAGTAGACTATATCTTCTAATTTGGGGATCCTCTCTATTTAACTGGTAAATTGCTATTAATTTGAAAAAATAATAATTCAGAAGCTAATTCGTACCAATCCTTAGTCCCTCAGGCATAAATATACTTCCATAACATTTTGTGCGCACATTATGGTCATTTGTATTGTATTATTATCTTTTATGTATCTGTCTTCCCCAGGAGGTTCTGTCTTGGTTATTCTTGATAGAGTATAATATCAAGATGATTAATTATAATCTTCTGGGGAAGACAGACATTAAAAAAAAATCACATTCACATATTTCTGCCTATCTACTGCCTATATTGCACAAGGGTCTTCTGATGGCTGTCGCATAGAGGAATTTCCTTCCACACCAGTTACACCCTGGGTATTGCAGTGATTTCCAGAGAGCTAGGTTTACAACAGTTTCTAATATTTGTTGAGAGAAAGAAATGAAGAATGAACAAGTAGAGGAAGAATGGCAGAAAGGCAACCTTGGTGAGGATTTGGTTTATAAAAAATAGACTGGGCACATTAGCTCATGCCTGTAATCCCAACACTTTGGGAGGCCAAGGCAGGCAGCTTGCTTGAGTCCAGGAGTTCAAGACCCGCCTGGGCAACATGGTAAAGCCCACATCTCTACAAAAAATACAAAAATTAGCCTGGCATGGTGGCACATGCCTGTAATGCCAGCTACTCAGGCGGCTGAGGTGGGAGGATCACCTGAGCCTGGGAGGTGGAGGTTGTGCTGAGACGTGATCACGTCACTGCACTCCACCCCGTCTCAAAAAAATAAAATAAAAAATGAACATAGCACATTGCAGATGGTGTTGACAGTTTAGTAATCCTGGAGACCCATCTGGAAATATGTACAAAATAAAATAAATCTCCTCATTTTATGGGTGTGAGTAAGTCAACTTTAGGCAGCTCCCAGTAACAAGTTCCCTTTTTTCTTGAACACCTACTATGTGTGAGGCTAAGTGGGAGGTACAACCTCTGAATCAGCTATTATTTATATGTGTTCACCAGAAGATATTGAAGATGAAAAAAATATAGGATTTTTTTTCTTGACTAAAGTCACACAGATATTAGTACAGTAAGTCCTCAATGTTGATAGGTTCTTGAAAACTTCAACTTTAAACAAAACTATGTATAATGAACAGATTTTACCACAGGCTAATTGATATAAACAAGAGTTAAGTACCTACAGTATATTTTTTATTACAAAGATATCAACAAACCTCTAAATAAAGACCTCACACACTTCTAATATTAAACATGGAAATAAGCATGAGCTCTATATACATGTTAAAAGATTAATGAAAACAAGTAAGATAATTATTTAGCCAAGTGAATCAGTGAGTGATGGCAATCCTCCTGGTGGTGGATTAGTTAAGAAATAAATGTGTGCAAAGCAAAAACTTTCAAGAGCACCTCTGACCACCATGCTGTTCAAAAACAATCATAAATACGTTGGCTTCCTGGGCGCTTTCATACTGTCATGCACTGTCCTGCAATCGCATGATTATTGTATAATTGAACATTTCTACTTGACAATCTTTGTATTCATTCATTCATTCATTCCTTTTTCAACCCACTTATTCCAGTTCAAGGATCACTAGTGGTCAGATCCCATCCCACAGCTCAGGTCACAAAGCAGGAGCTCACCTTGCATAGGACACCATCCCACAGCAAGCTGCACCCATACCCACTCACACTGGGACCCAGTAGACACACTAATGAAACTCACATGCACAACTCTGCATGTGGGAGGGGACCTCAGTACCTGGAGAAAACCCACACAGACATGGGGAGTATGTGTAAACTCCATACAAACATTGGCCCCAGCTAAGAATTTTTTTCTCATCAATATTATGTAATTATATAATTACGTACCAAGTTCTAACGTCTATGCATTTCCACATGACAAATCAAGATTCTTCTTTACTTTGATAAATGATGCTTTTAACATCGTATTTATTGTGTGAACAGTTAATAAATGGTAGCTGTTGTGACTACTGCTATTAACACCATAACACAACATCACGGAAACAGTTTAACATCATGGAATATTAAACTGCTAAGCTTATATAAAACTTAATACTATAAGAAATATGAAAGTTATGCTGATGTAAGGAAATGTTTGTAAATGCAGAACATAAAACGGTATGTCTTAGTTAATTAAAATTACAGGCAATATTGTGTATGGTATATTAGTAAAAATTAGAAGTCAGTATGCTGAAAATAATGAGACCGTGTGTTTGTAGGTAACTTATTTGAAGTTCCTCAATTTCTCTGAGAGCAAGAAAATTTGCTTGAATTCAAATTTATGTTAAAACATAGTATATAATTTCTAAAAGTGGTGTTACTATCCCAGACCTTCTCCACATTTGAAATCTCATTTCTTCTGCCGCAACACAATAAATTACTGTTGTTTTAGTAAGAGTTGTTTGTCTATTTATTTTACTATTGGGAATGAAAACATTTAGAGGCAGGTTTTTTTAAAAGGATTACTGGAGTGAAGTTTTCTTTGAAATAAAGTCATTTAAACCACTTGCTTCACTTAAAATAGACATAGTTTACCTTAACGCTTCCCAATTAGCATAAGAAACCTAGACATTACAATGCCAACCTCTGTAATAAAGGCTAAATTATGTTAACATTTTGTTAAGCTAAAGTAGTCAACACGTGCTGAAAAGAAATTTATTTCTTGTACAGTCATGCCTCACTTAACAATGAGGACACATTCTGAGAAATGCATCATTAGTTGACTTCCTTGTGCAAACATCATAGAGCCCACTCACACAAACCTAGATGGTATAGCCTGGTACACACAAAGGCTATATCATATAACCTATTGGTCCTAGGCTCCCTGTACAGTACATATTGTACTGAATGCTGTGGGCAACTGTAACACCATGGGAAGCATCTGTGTATCTAAACATCTAAACATAGAAAAGGTATAGTAAAAATACTGTGGCTCACGACTGTAATCCCAGCACTTTGGGAGGCTGAGGCAGGTGGATCGCTTGGCTCCAGGAGTTTGAGACCAGCTTGGGCAACATGGCAAAAGCCCGTCTCTACTGAAAAATGCCAACATTAGCCTACTCAGGGGGCTGGGGTAGGAGGATCACCTGAGCCTTGGGAGGTTGAGGCTGCAGTGAGCCAAGATGGGGCCATTCCATTCTAGCCTGAACAACAGAGTGAGACCTTGTCTCATAAAAAACAACAACAACAACAACAACAAAAAACCCAAAATGGAATTATAATCTTACAGGACTACTATTGTATAAGTGGTCCATCGTTGACCTACACATAATTGTATAGTGCATGGCTGTACAGAAATATGGGAGAGAGATTTTAGCAGAACTGCAATAGCAATAGTGACAAAGTAACTGCTACAAAAAAGGTGAGAATATTTGACAAGAGCAGCGGCTAAGACTCAAAATCATCTTTCTGCTCTGAGAGCTGTGGAAGGCTAACCCCACTAGGGGACATCCAGCTCAGAGCTCATCTGGGCCTCAGACTTTCATGTGAGGGGAGTTCTAACCAGTGTCACTAACTCCTGAAGCAACTGACATTCTCTTATTCTCATTGAATTATAAGAGAACAAAGGCCAAAACGTTTGAAAGAATTCTATGTAATCAAAGCATCTTTTAACAAAGCAGGTACAGAAAAATGACCTTGAACCTGATCGTCAGGGAATCTGAAGCAGCTTCTTGGGCAGGAGGGGGTGGCTTTTCTTCCCTACCGCAGTTATGTCTAGAGTTTTACATCTGACAGAGCTATGTCTTAAGCACACCAAAGGTTGGGTAGGCCTGGGGCAAAGGGTGATATTCCGGATAAAAATGCACATTGCAGCTCAGTTTTCTGTAATTGAAAGAGTTATATGAAGAGTCTTTCTTCTCTTTTTGTTAAAATCCTGAAGTTGTTTTTCATTAGCAATAACTATTTTAAGGCCCTGATTTGATAGCCACAGTGGAAAGGAAGGAACTAAGAAATCAAAGGGAAAGATAGCCTTGTTGCAAAAGGCTCAGGCATCACAAGAGGAGGCGGTGGATTCCTCAGCTTGTTTAAAATTGCTACTGGGTACGTTTATATGTGTGTTTACATTTGTAATGAGGCAACTGTCATTTCGTGTTTATATTTATGGGCTATTAAACTTTAAAGACAAGTTGCACTGATGATTAACTCCTATATTTACTCCACATTTGCTATGCTGATATTCCAGTGACTTTTTAAATGAAGTTTAAGTAAGGACAGTTAAATTAAGTAGGCAGAAATCAGTAGATTTTTAAAATATATAATTTACAAAATAGAGACAGGAGCTTCAAAACCTATTTAAATTAAATCTGGCTCCAACATTATCTAATTGGATTTACACATTCCTTTGGCAAGCAGGGGATAAAGGGTTCTCTCATGAATCAGAGCTGTCACAATAGAGCAGAAGTGGTCAAGCTGTTTCATAAAGGGGTGAGGTGGAGTTTAGCTAATGTAGAGAGGAGGTCAAAAGTTAGGGCAAAGGACTAACAGAAAGAAACTGAAAAGCAGTTTCTATTGGCATCTTCCTGGGAGAAAAGGGAGGAAAGGAAAATAATAAATTTCAAAGAGATTCTCATCACACTTTGTAATTGCATGGAAGATGAGATCTATGTAAATTAAAGGAAGGGATACTTGGCAAACCTTCCCAAAAGGCTAAGCTACAACCTAATTATTTTAGCCCTTACATGCTCCTGCATTTCTCTTTCTTCTTGTTCTTTCTTCTGCTACTTCCCCTCTTCTTTTCTTTCTTCCTTTTTTCTCTCTGCCCCCTCAACCTTTTCAGCTGGGGCAATATAATTAACACTGCTCACGTGGCTACCCACATGCCAAGCACTTATGACTGTTTCACAGGCATATTTTAACACTCTTCCAGCATTATTATCCATATTTCATAGAAGTTGAGGCTCATATAGACTAAATTTCAAAGCCAAATTTGTCAGTGAGTGGGCAAAGACAGAAATCTAATCTTAATCTATCTGATTCTTTAATTAATAAAGGAATGACTTTCAGGAGTGAAACTGTAAGTTGCAGATGTCAGGGTAACCACAGACCCTTTGCACATAAGAAATTAGGATGAGGATGGATGAACTTTGGGAACTGAATCAAGATACCATAAGAGCAAAATTCTGTATTGGAGACCTATTCAACTAAACATTCTTAAAGCAATCAAATAAGTATTTAGGGAACAAATGGAATTCAATTCTGAACCTTGCTGGTAGGAGGGGGTCTTTATCAGTGACTGAGATAAAGTTTGGAAGTCTGCTCCAAATCGCATGTTGAGATGTAATCCCCAGAGTTCCAGGTGGAGCCTGGTGGGAGGGGTTTGGGTTATGAGGGCGGACCCCTCATGGCTTGGTGGGGTCCTGGATAGTAATCTCATTTTTTAAAGTATGTGGTATCTCCCCTTGTTCCCACCATGTAAACTGCCTGCTCCTGCTTAGCCTTCCACCATGAGAAAAAGCTCCCTGATGCTTCCCCAGACGTCAAGCAGATGCCAGTGCTATGCTTCTTGTACAGCCTGAGAACCGTGAGCCCATAAACCCCTTTTCTTAATAAATCACCCTGTCTTAGGTGTATCTTTACA